TATATATACAGTATATATATATAAAATAAGTAGGATGTTTTCAGAAAAGAACGAACACAAAAATATTTTCTGTAAGTTTTGGTCAATACCAGAACTTATTGATTTTATTTGTTCTGTAAAATATACTAATATTTAATGTGAAATATAAAGCACAGCAAAAAACAAACGTCCCATAATTGCTCAGATGTTCATCCAGCCAAAAACATAATTTATCTGAGACTTAACAATTAAATATTTTCTTTTCCAAAAGTGCATTAAAAAAACTTGTGTGGCTCTTTAGAAAAATTAACTTAAACCTAAACTAAGACATACAAAACTTCCCATTTAAATTATTTAAAGTTTTAATCAGATCAGTTACATGTTTTATTTTAAAAAGAATAATTAATTTTGTTGTTTGTTAGAGGAATTCATCTAAGTGATAAAGCTTAACCTTACAGGACCAAAAATCCTCTCAGAAACACATAAATAGTTTAATTATATATCTGTAATTATTTCACACTTCTTAAAAATCTTGTACACTCCAAGCAATATTTGTCTATACTTTATTTATTATTTACTCACTGATTGCGCATCCCTTCACATCTATTCATTGAATGTTTGACAGGAGGTGAACTAGTGAAGTCACAGTTCTACCACACACTCACAGTTTTCTGTTAGTTTGAGTGTAAAATGTTAAATAAAAAGCACAAGACAGAGGATGGTTTTAACCTGCATTAAACTAGAGACCCTTTTGTTGAATGAATGTATGGGAATCCATTTCTTGTAACTCAGAATGAGGGTACTGTTAAAAATCTGTTTTGCATGTATCCAGTGGATTTAATCAGCAGTACTTCCTCCACAGCCGATACTGTGCAGCAGGCAGCTGGCCCTTTTGTGCTTTGGCCCTTGTGAGACGTTCCGGTTCCCCCGCTGGCCTGGCTCAGGGCACCAAATGTGCCGGGAGTTGCCTGGGTAGGAACTGGCTCGTAACTGGCTGACAGTAGGTGTCAGTCAGTGTTGATAAAAAAAAATAATTTAAAAAACACGTCTTTCATTTTGATGATCTGAAAACCAGCTCTACAGAAGGATACACTTTTATTTCAGGACTTAAAGTAATAGTAACGGTAGAAAAGTTATGAACAATAAACATCTTACCTGCTGGTAGATTGCTCTTTTAATGAAGTGGAATGAAACAAAGGTCAACTCTGACTGGATTAGAGGGAGGCCAAAACTAAAACGAACTAATGTCCTAAAACTACTCTGAGATTATGTGTGTGCGTGCGTGCGTGCACGTGTGTGTGTATGTAAGAAAAAATATGTATTCAATAAACTGAAGTCGAAATTAAACCACCATTGTTAAATAAAATGATTTGTAGAAGGGATCAAACCATACAACACCAGAATTCTGGAACCGGGTGGGGTTTATTGCCACTGGAGCTGACAGGAAACCACACTGGCAAAAAACCAGGAAGTTCATCAATTTATACATGTTCTTCAATGCCTGTGTTCGCCCCCTACTGACCTACGGCTGAATCACAGGCATTCAGACAAAAACCTCATCTACTGTTATTATAATGTTTTAATTATGTGTTGTTATAATTCGGACATGTAACTAATCTATATCAATCAAGACATAATAGATTAAACATTGTCAACATTATAAAAAGTAAAACCTAAAAATATAGTATTGTGC